AAATATATCTGTATTGATTTCAGAGAGAGAAGGGAGAGGGAGAGAGAGATAAAAACATCAATGATGAGAGAGTCATTGATTGGCTGCCTCCTGCACGCCCCCAACTGGGGATTGAGCCCACAACCCAGGTATGTGCCCTGATTGGGAATCGAACCTCAATCTGCCTGGATCCTAGGTTGATGCTCAACCACTGAGCCATACCCGGCTGGGCTCATCCTACCTTTTGAATCTTGTATGACTGAGCATTTTGGTGTTTGCAGGAAACCAGAGTCAGATACTATCCCCGTGCAATTCATCATCTTTGAACCCAACAAGTTCTACCATTTCAGAAGAAAGTGCTGTTGCCTGCATAGGTGAGAATCAGTGACCAATCTATAAAAATGATCTCAATCCTTAGGAATGCATTTTATTAATCATTTACTTTCACTTTCCAGAGAGTGGTCAACTTCGCCTGGTAAATGGAAGTGGTCGCTGTGCTGGAAGAATAGAGATCTATCATGAGGGCTCCTGGGGCACCATCTGTGATGACAGCTGGGACCTGAGGGATGCCCACGTGGTGTGCAGACAGCTGGGCTGTGGAGTGGCCATTAACGCCACTGGTTCTGCTTATTTTGGGGAAGGAACAGGGCCTATCTTGCTGGATGAGATAAACTGCAATGGAAAAGAAGCTCGTATTTGGCAGTGCCCTTCACATGGCTGGAAGCGGCACAATTGCAGGCATAAGGAGGATGCCGGAGTTATCTGCTCAGGTAAGTTCTGCACGTAACCTCTGGTCACATTTACATAAGGAAGGACTGAGGTAAGGCAAAGGGTAGTGGGGATATTAATCTGAGAGAATTCCCTGAAAAGTAGGTACAGAGGAAGCTGTTGCAAGAGTCAGGATCCCAGAAGTATAGACTTGATTAATTACTGTTACCTCCTGTGCGAGGTAGTATAAAGTCAGGAGAAAAATTCACAAATGAGCTTGCAGATCATGGAAATGACAACAAAACTAATAATGAGAAGTTCTTCTATAAATATATGTGGAGCTGGATATTGGGTAAAGATTCAGTGCACCACCTGATAATTACTGTATTAAGAAAGAAGCAGATTTAAAGGGACAAGAAGAAATACATCACTGCTACATTCTACAGAGAAAAAGATAATTACCATGCCCAAGTAATTTTCCATGACAAATGAGACTTATTTGTCATAGGAACACATATGAGACTTATTTGCCATAAGAGGCCACTGATCTCGCTTTGTATACATAGCAAGCTTTAGAAAGGATTATGAAGTAGAAAAATGTACTCAGTTATAATATATTGGGAAAAACAGTGCTATGACTCAGTAACTTAGGGAAGTGAAAATTCTATATGCCAGGAGTGATCTGGATATTAGTCACATTTAATGATACAAATTTGGTAGAGAACATGTGCAACAAAACTGTAACATATCAGAAAGGGAACTATTTCATTTTAAGGTAATGTACACAAGCCGAGACTGGAAAAGCAGAAGGTATAGTAAAATACTATATTTACTAAAATCTACTAAATCACCCAGCAGTTACTAAAGAAGTACTACTAATTGACATAGTTTACCTATTTTTGAAGTCATTCTCACATCAGAGTAAAGGGAAGGAGTCTTGTGAATTTTCAGAGAAGGTGCAACTACTAACTCTGTACTTCACCCCAGAGTTCTTGTCTCTGAGACTGACCAGTGAAACCAGCACAGAGGCCTGTGCAGGACGTCTGGAACTTTTTTACAACGGATCTTGGGGCAGCATTGGCAAGAGTGACATGTCTTCAACCACTGTGGAGGTGGTATGCAGGCAGCTGGGCTGTGCAGACACGGGAAGCATCAGCCCTGCATCTTCAGCCAAGGCAATGTCCAGATACATGTGGGTGGACAATGTTCAGTGTCCTAAAGGACCTAACACATTATGGACATGCCCATCATCTCCATGGAAGTGGAGACTGGCAAGCCCTTCAGAGGAGACCTGGATCACATGTGCCAGTGAGTATTTGTTGGCCTATATGAAAATTCCATTCTGTGACTCCACTATGATATTCTGTCTTCATTAAGTAGTAATGGAGTAAACTCTAGTTAATACCTCTTCTACCTGAGCAGTAGAATTGATTTTATTTAATTTGACCTATAGATTTTCAAGATCAGAGATCATTTTTTCATAGACTATTTATATTCCCCATGGCCTTCCTGAAAGTTTTATTCAATTTCTTTCTCTGTGAACAAATGAGGAGCAGAAAATATGTGATTCAAGATTTGAATATTGAATGGTCTACCTTACCTTTCCAATTTTTCTTTCAAATATTGCTTTGATATACTAATATAAAAAAAGAAGCAGTCACAAAGATCAGTCCTAAAGTATTTCCCCATTCTCCATCTTTATAAACTGGAAGAAATTTTTTATGTACCTGGCAATCTCCCAAGCTCTTTTCTATTTGAGAAAACTTAACATTATATAATGTTATTGTTATTTATTTGACATTTCCTGAGTCACACTAATGTTCTTATGTCTGGTATGAAATATTTTGCTGAAAAGACATGTGTTTTCATAAAAGATATATTTTGTTCAAATATTTTTTTAAATGCACATTAAATGAGCAAAGTTTTAAAATAGAGTCTTAAAAAGAGTTTCAAATATTTCTTTTCCCCTGTGACCTCTTAGGAGTTTTTGTCTTCTCAGAAATGACCTTGGGGTCTCTGATTTTTCAGACAAGATAAGACTTCAAGAAGGAAACACTACTTGTTCTGGACGTGTGGAGGTCTGGCACGAAGGTTCCTGGGGGACAGTGTGTGATGACTCCTGGAACCTTGACAATGCTCAGGTGGTGTGTCAAGAGCTGGGCTGTGGCTCAGCTTTGAAGGCACTCAAAGAGGCGGCTTTTGGTCAGGGGACTGGGCCCATATGGCTCAATCAAGTCAAGTGCAAAGGGAATGAGTCTTCCTTGTGGGATTGTCCTGCCAAACCCTGGGGGCACAGTGACTGTGGGCACAAGGAAGATGCTGCTGTGATATGCTCAGGTGAGTGCCGGGATACTGGACTAAGTTGGAATCTCTGGTAGCAAAGAAGGTGTGAGCAGTCAAGTGTATCGTGTAAAGACTGGATATGTCAACATAGGGATCTAGTGGGGAGAGAATCATGATGTTTCAAGTCTGAAGAAATGATGAAAATATTTCTTGTTGTACATTGGCTTTCACCAAGGAAAAGCATATTGCTTACCTGTATCCCTGTGCAGAGGGAAGAAAGAGAAGAGTAGCATAGTTTTAGGTGGCAAGGAGTAGTTTGCTTGGTTGAGAGGCACTAAAGGCTCATGTAGAAAGTAAAAAATTTTTTCAATAAAATCTATATTCCTTAATCCAGGAAGTGGTACCACCGCCCATCCAAATCTCCAGTTTGGATTTCTTCCTCTTATCTATCACCTCCCCAAGTCAGTCACCAGGTCCTATATATTCTTTTTTTAATTAAATTTATTGGAGTAACATTAGTTAATAACATTATATAAGTTTCAAGTGTTCGGAAACAGAACTATTTGTTCTATATATTACCCTTAGAAATGAGTCTCCTCTTTTTCTCCTACAGGCAATGCAATCAAAGAGACATCAAATGCCACAGGTATATCATGGGGTTTATGGGCATGAGACCAATTATTTGCATTATTTAGAATCCCTCTTGTTAAGAGACTTTAGGTCAGGAGAAGTTTGGAGGATATCAAACTTACTTCAGTGATCCTGTATATAACCTAAGAGAAGGATAGTAATTAGGGACCCAGTTCTTTCAGCTTACACATTCTCATCTCTTGTGCTATTTACTTGTGCTTAGGTAACAAAGCCCCTGTTGTATTTGGAGTCCTTGGGGCCATTGTGTTGGTTGGTCTCATCATGTTCCTCTTGTGGTTTTGGAAGCGAAGACAGCTACAGCAACTTACAGGTCTGAGCCAAATTATGGTCTCTCTAATGTTTTATGGGATAAGAAAGTTTTTGGTGTAAAAAACAAAAAAATATTAGATTCAAGTATCAAATGGCCAGAAAGATGGAGCCTACAAGAGGCTTAAGCAGTTTCTCAAAAAGAGTGAACGCGATTTCAGAAAAAAGGGAAGGGAAGGGAAGGGGAAGGGGAAGGGAAGGGAAGGGAAGGGAAGGAAAGGAAAGGAAAGGAAAGGAAAGGAAAGGAAAGGAAAGGAAAGGAAAGGAAAGGAAAGGAAAGGAAAGGAAAGGGGCCTAAGTTGTATTGATGATTCCTGTACTCCATCTATATGTTTAATTGGGACATTATAGAATTGATAGTTTAGAATAAATATGTTTATATGATTTAAGGTGAATCCTTTTTTGCCCAACATTTATTTGCTTTTACTATATACTTATTATTGATTTTACTGTTCTGTCAAGCAATGTGCCTAGGATCTGATGATACAGACATGGATAATCAAATGTTTTTGTCTTCATGGAATTTCAAGTCTAGTGGAAGAGCTATCTATGTAAACAAATAAATTGCAGTGTAGTATTATACATTTATATGAATGAGAAAAAAAGCAGCACAGAGAAGAGAATAACCGAAAGGGAACAGGGAATATCAGAGGCTTCTGAGAGGCATTTGAGACAAATTTTGGAGATAAGAGTTCAAAGAACTGCGTTATAGGGAGAGAGAAAACTCCATATAAGTGTGGAGAAGCTTAAAGGATGCCACATTTATTGTTTGGGGAGCAGGAGTTGGTGGGGATTAAAAGTTGAACTTCAGGAGAGAAGCTACTGATAAGGCTGGAGAAGAGGGAAGAACTTAAGAAGTTCTGTATCCCATGGTAAGAAGAATAGTCATTAAAGAGTATTACGGAGGGGAGTGAAATAGTCAAGCAGCCTTTAGGAAGTTCTGGGCAACAGGATATATGAGGGATTGAAGGAGGACCACATTACTGACAAGGATTACATTTTGAAATAGTTGGGATGAAAGATGAAAAAGACTTTATAGTGAGAATGGAGGGAAGATCGATTTTAGTGAAATTTTAGGAAATCTCCAATGAATTTAAAAAAACACACAAAACTGCTGGGTGCCTTGGTTGTGATGGCAATAGCTTTAGCTTGGTGGTAGAATGGTATGGAAACAAGACAAGGGTATGAATGAAGATTGGGTATGTTTGCACTGCTAGAAAAAGCACACAGACGGAGGGAGTTTTATTATTTTCTGCTGATTTCTAACTTAGGATGTCTGTTGTCAGTTTCCTCAAGAGGAGAACATTTTATCCACCAAATTCAATACCGGGAAATGAATTCTTGCCTGAAAGCAGATGACCTGGACATGCTGAACTCCTCAGGTCTGTGGTTCCTTAAGTGTCTATAGCCCTGGGGTTCAGACAAGTAGGCTGAAGCATTCTACTTTGCTTAGCAGTGGAAAGAAACCTCAAACATGTAGTAACAGGAAGCATATGATGCATAAAAGGAAGAAGACAGGAATGAACTGAAAATTATTCTTAGAGGACATAAAAATTGCAGTCATGGGGAAACTACTGACTAAGAGGTCTATGTTTCTGACAGAGGTACAAAGACCCATATAGCAGAATATATGACTTGGACTTCATTTTATTAAACAGAAATTAACCTTCTAAAATGTAGTTTAACTTTTCATATAGCTCTTTTGTAGTTTCTTCCATTCTCACTCCTGCTACTTTCCTTTCTCTAACTTGATATCTATCATATTTTTCCTAAAGTCCTAAAAGCTTGCACTTTCTGTATCTTTACCCGGTCAGAGGCCATCACTGTTCACAGGACTAGCTTTATTTCCCATTACACAATTCTCTTTCTTTGTCCTCAGACTTCGGTTTAGCACCAGTGCACTAATTCTGCCTCTGGGAAGCATAACTCTGTTGGTTTGGGGGAAATATCCAAATACCTTCTTACCCCATGAAGGCTCAGAGCCGTCTCAATAGTCCTTACCTTCTGACAAGGGCCTGCCTCACTCCTTCAGTCCAAGGGATTTGGTCTTTGCTGCAACTATGTCAGGAACATAGTATTTAAGACATGGGAAAGACTTTCTGTGCCCCCTCAATCACACTTGTTTCCTTCCTAATTGTAGATGGTGTTTTTAGATGTTCAAAGGGCTTCTAAAGCACTTGAAGGGAGGTCTGATTTATTTCCTAGTAATTATTTTCTTCCATTCAGAAAACTCCAATGAGTCAGATGGTTTTAATGCTGCTAGACTAATTTTTGTGTCCAATTCTCTTCCAAGGGGACCATTCTGAAGTCCACTGAAAAGGAAGATGAGAGTTATAACCTAATGAGGTGAGGAAAATTTATTCATCATCATTCTAAACAAGTACACTCCTTTGAAAAAATGAGAACTCCTCTGGTATTAGAAAGAATGTATATACACATATATTTTTATATACATGTATATATGTTTATGTATGCATATTCATATAGAGAACATATAACAGATTTTTATTACTTTGACTTGTTCACCTTTCAGTTACATATATATACCCTAAGCCATAACAATGGTACATCATGGAGCTAAGTAGAAACTGGGTAAATAAATATGAATAAATCTTTTAAATGTATTATGGGGATCATTTCAAGAAAGAAATAAGACATATTTATGGTTGTATAATGCATGTTCTGGTAAGTGTAAGATACCATAGGGATATAGAAAGTTTGCTTAGGAAAGTTTGGAGAGATTGTGAAGAAGATGTAATGTTCAAGTTGAACATGAGATGACTGACAGACCAGTCCAGGGAAAGGACATGGTATGTACAAAATACGGAGGCATAAAAGAGAAGCACACCTTTGGGAAACATAAGTTTTTCATTCAAAGACATATACTGAACATATATGAACAAGTGGTATCCTGAGCACTGAAGATGCAAAAATTAAAGATACTGTTGACAAAGACAAGATTGTTTAATGAAGTAGGTAGGAATATGGGGAGGTTATGTGGAGGGAGGGGAAGTAATGTGGACCTAAGATGGAAAGGCTGCATAGAGCCCTACAATGAATGGTCTTATCTGTTCCATTTCACATCTATATTTTATTTTAGGGACTCTTGGGGAGGTGGTGGGCTTTGGAAGATTAAGCTGGGGTAAGACACGATCAGATTTGTTTTTTATAGTTTGCTTTCATGAGGAAAATATAACAACAAGGAAATGAACAAGGCAAGAAATTTGCTAAGTTATACATCAAAAAATAAAGGTGATGAAATGAGTGGGTACATTTTCTGTTTTTTCAAAAGTAAGGGTCTTTTTAGAAATATTATATATTTCTTATATATATATGTATATATATAAGAAATACATATATATATAAGAAATACACATTGAATCAAAGGATAAAAGTTAGAACTCTTAAAACTATATAAATGTAAAGTGTTAATATCATATATAGACACATAGAGCACCTATAACTTGTATGTTGCATGGAAAGGGTAAATATATGTATGTAAATTTTACACACACATACATATCTTATCAATTATTAAGACAAATACAATACCTAATGGATAATTGAGAAAGCTATGAAAAGACAACTCATAAAAAATGAATTTCAAATGACAGGCAATTAAAAATGCTTAAATTCATCAGTATGTCTAGGCAATTCAAATTATGACTAATGATGATATGTCACTTTATATAAATCAGACCAAAAAATATTTTAAAACACCAGTATGTATTGCTGGTGGGATTACAGAGAAAAATGTAATTTCAAACATTGCTATTGGAAATAAGAAGTGTGGTAGCCTTTGGAGAAAGCAACATGGAAACTTCTATTTAAAGAAAAAATTTAATGCTTGGGAAAGGGGTACTTCTGTAATACTTTTAACAATAAAGAAATTTAAAAATTTTTTAAAAATAAAAATCCTGGAGAAAAAAGTTTTAATACTTCACAGATCCTTTGACCCAGCTATTTTGCCACTGAGAATTTTTTCCATACAGATAAAGACACTAGTATGTAAGAACATATATAAAGGATTCTTTTTTGCCGTGTTCTTAGTAGTGACAAAAGTTGGAAACAAAGTAAATGGCAATCAGTCATGTAGTGGCTGAAAAATTATGGAAAAACTAAAAAAGGGAAAAACCATTCATGAAAATGCAATAATATCATTCCATCTATGTGTTCATGTTATTGAATAGAATTAAATCTATCTATAAAATTATACATTCATATGTATAAAGAAACATTTAAAAATTCTAAAACTATTATAAGCTGAGAAGGGCTATGAATGACTTTTGATTTATAATCTCAAACACATAAATATTATTCTGATATAATAAATAATGTTTAAATTACTTTTTCCTTAAATAGTAATCACTGCTGAAGAACTGCTTCAGAATCATGTGGGGGTGCTTTTAAAAATAGCATTTCTGAACACCACTGTAGTTCTATGGAATAGAAATAATACTTATATACACTGAAGTGTGAAAATTGTTACATTTAAGTTTTCTGTTCAGGAAAGTAGTGTGCTTTTTAATATATGTGAGTGTGTGTGTGTGTGTGTGTGTGTGTGTGTGATAATGTAATACATTACATTACATTATAATGTAATTCTTTTAAGCATGTGCATATAAAGAAGAATATAACAGTTTTTCTATTTATGGCTTTAGTTCAGCCTTTAAGACTGATGACTTGGACTGTTGAATGGAGCAAGAATTTACCTGGTTCACTGAAGATCACAATACAGTCATTTTTCTCCTAGGATTCCAAAGACTGCTGCTGAATTTATAAAAATTAAATTGATGAATGTGACTATTAAAAGTTGTATATAAGACTCTCGGGGGGGTGTAAATAAAAATGAGTATTGCTGATTTAAGCTTGTCTTAACCTCTTGTTCTTGACTTTATGAATTTTTTAGTGGGCATTCTGATTTTTTTTAGTTTCATAAATATAATATGATGTTTTTTCATTTGACAATGTTTTTATTTTAATATTATACATATTTTTATAGTTTTGTTTAAATAATAACTTTCTTCTTATTACTAAATCAAAACAAATTTACTTTTGTTTTTTGCTTTTTAGAAAAGGAAAGTTAGTGATAATTGAAGTGTTTGTTAATAACATATGGTTACCTCTGCAAGACATGGCTCTCATTGGTTCTTTAATTGCTTTTTGTTACTGTAATTCTGGTCATAGACAAAAAAATGCACAGCAACAGCTGGTAAGGAAACAAAGACTCAATGGCTCACTTCTTCATTTCTTAGGACAGTAAAACTGAAACTGAAATAAATGCATAAATTATGTTTTTTCTATACAACTATTATAATGAAAGTTCATATTTTACTAAAAATCACTTTTCTATGTTTCATATAAACATAAATAAGAGTTATAGTAATTCAACACTAAGCTAAGAGTCTATTGTTCAATTTGAGTAAATGCTAGATGCAAATTGGTTTTTAATTCTTTCTCATTATTCGGGTATTGCATACACCCTTTTCTGGCATTAAGGGCTTCAAAGCAACTATCTTGTAGAAACATATTGTTTCACTTTTCATTTCTTTCTCACCCCTTATCAATTCAACAAAGACCTACTATTTGCCAGGTCTTTAAATACCAAATTATATGCCATGTACTATGTACCCAATGTCAGGTACCATATACGTATGTGTGTAAGTATATATATCCAATTATAGCATATACACCTAGGAATCCAACATATATAACAATTAACATAAATCTTTATGTACATATTTTAAAGTAATATGTAACATAGAGTCTTTACCTGTATTTAGATTTATTTTACCAAAATTGTGTATGAGACATCAATTACTAAAATATTTCCTTATTAGTACACTAGTAAGCGGTAAATGAAAATTGACAATACTTTCAGAATTTCCACCATTATTAGAACGTTAATAATAATGCCCACCGCCTCCCCCCTCTTATTGCTTAGTATGTGATTTGCAGTGATATCAAGAGACTATGTTTGCATTCACAGGTATAGGAGAGCTTTCTCATTTCCTCAAACATTTTATAAGCATAGCTTTCACAAAGATACACTTCTCATTTCTTTCTTTAATACATTTTTTATTCTAAAATAATTTTAGGTTTACAGAAAAGTTGCAAAGATAGTTCCCACTTGCTCATCCATTTCAATTGCCCTTAATGTTATCACCTCACGTTACTATGGAACACTTGTCAAAACTAAGAAACCAGCATTGATACATTACTGTTGTGGGTTGAATTGTGTTCCCCCAAAAGATACGTTCAAGTCCTAATCACTGGTGCCTGTGACTGTGACCTCATTTGGAAATAGGGTTTTTGAAGATATAATCAAGTTAAGATGAGGTTGTAGTGTATCAGGTTGTGTTCTAATCTAATGACTAGTAAATGGGCTTGTAAGAAGGAAAAAACTTGGACACAGACATATAGGGGAGAATGCCATGTGATGATGGAGGTAGAAATCAGAATAATGACTCTAAAAGCCAAGAAAGTCCTAGGGTTCTGGCAACTACCAAAAGACAGAGGAGACAAGGAAGGATCCTACTTTAGAGTTTTTGAAGGGAGCATAACTTTGCCGAAACCTTGATTTAGAACTTCTAGCCTCCAGAATTGTAAAAAAAAAAATTGTTTCTGCTCTTCTAAACCATCCAGTTTGTGATACCTTGTTAAGGCAGCCCTAAGAAACTAATATAATTACTATGAAATACATACATTCTAGACATTACTTGGATTTCACCAATTTTTTCATTAATCTCCTTTTTCTGTTCCAGGATCCCATCCAGAATATCACATTGCATTTGGTTGCCCTTTCTCTTTAGTCTCCTCCGGTCAGTGACAGTTTCTCAGTCTTTCCTTGTGTTTCATGACTGTAACAGTTTTGAGAAGTTTTGGTTAGGTATTATTAGAATTTCCCTCTTTTTTGGATTTGTCTAATGTTTTTCTCACGAATCGATTGGGATAATGGGGTTTTGAAAAGAATATCACAGAAGTGAAGTGCCCTACTCATTACGACATATAACTGGGCACATGATATATGCATGTCATCACTGGGGATGCAACCTTTGATCATTTGGTTGAGGTGGTATTTATTTTGTTTCTCCATTGTAGTTATTATTCTCCCCTTTTCATACTTTATTATTTAGCAGTAAGTGACTAAGCCTAGCAGAGGTCTGCTGGTAATGAATTCTATCAAATTTTGTTCGAGGAATTTTTTATTTCTCCTTAAGTTTTAAAATGTATTTTTACTGTACATAGCATTCTGGGTTGACAGGTTATATCTTTCTTTTAGCTCTTAATAGATGTCATCTTCACTACCTTCATGTCTGCATAATTTTGACAAGAAATCTATTGTAATTATTATTTTTGTTCCTCTTCATGTAATATGTCTTTTTTTCCTCTGGCTGACTTCAACATTCTCAATATCAATCTCTCTCTCTCTCTCTCTCCTCCCCTTCCCTCCCTCCCTCTATCCCTCAATTGAATATATGATACCTAAGTACAGAGAGTGTGTGCATTTCTTTTCTTGTTTGGTGGTGTGTTTTTTTAAGTACGTTGGACCTATGGTTTGGTGTCTGTCATTAATTCTTGACCATCGTTTTTCAAATATTTTTTCTGCCTCATTCTGTTGCTATTTTCCTTCTGGTATTCCAGTTACAGGTATGTTACACTGTTACAGGCTGTACCAGATAGCTTTGGGTGTCCTGTTCAATTTGTTTCAGATTCTTCTCAAAATGATCACCAGTGTCTTCAGTATTTCTTTAAGCACTATGTCTACAGGTATTTATTCTTTGTGTAATCCCCTCCCCTTGTTGTGGGCTGGAAGTAGTGACTTGCCTCTGATGAATAGAATATGGAAATAGTGCTGAGATGTCACTTTTAAGATTAGGTTATAAATGACTATGATTTCATATATCTAATATTTTCTTTTTTTTCTTTTTAAATATATCTTTATTGATTTCAGAGAGAGGAAAGGAGAGGGAGACAGGCAGAAACATCAATGATGAGAGAGTCATTGATTGGCTGCAGCCCGCAACCCGGGCATGTGCCCTGACCGGGAATCAAACA